CACCACCACCACCACCACCACCACCGTCACCATCACCACCATCGCTGGGGCCAGGGAAGCCCACACTGACTGTCCTCATGTGAGCACTGCCCCTTCGTGGACATCCTTCCCTTCACCCCCACCTTAGCCCCACAGGGAAGGTGCCATCTTTGCCTGTGCAGATGGAGCTAGACTTTGCACCAGGGCCACCCCAAGGGGACGCTCCTCCTCACCCCAGTAGACCTGCGGGATTCGTGGTGAGGTGGCCACTCGTCCCCACCCCGAGCTGCCATCTCATGGGTGTCCCCAGGTAATAAGAGCTGGTATTCACTGAGCGCTCCCCCGCACTAGACACCGTCCCGAGCGTGCTGCTTGTATAAAACCCGTCCTGTGAGGTGGGTGCTATTTTTAAAGCTTTTTCTTAAAGTACAGCATCTATACTGAAAAGTGCAGATCTCAAGTTCACGGCTTGGTGAATTGTCACAAACTGCACACGCCAGTATGACCAGTACTCGCATCAGGAAGTAGAGCATCTGAGCTTCCTGAGAGCCCCCCGTGTCCCCTTCCTGTCACTCTCCCCGTCCGTGACACCCTCTTCCTGGCATCTCACCATGTGGGTTAGTTTGCCCGCCTCGCGTGCTATAAAGGCCACCATAGGACACACGCACTTTGTGTCCAGCTTCCTTGACATCCGTCTGTGTGGCTCATCCCCGCGGGGTGTGGTTGTCATTCACCCCTCCTGTTAGACCCAGTCGCCCACCGTGCGCAGGGACAGCGATGGGGGCAGCCCTCGCGCTGAAGGGTGGCCCGGTGGCTCCCAGCGCGGAGCTTTCATAGGCGGCGCCCGTGTGAACCTGAGTGCGGGCCCTTTGGTGAGCACCCCCGGCTCGCTTGCTGGACATATGCGGAGGTGGCACTATTTTTATTCCTCTCTTACGGTAGGATGGGGTAGAAACTGTTATCTCCACTTAATACATGAGGACAGAGGCACAGAGGGGTTAAGGAACTTACCCAAGGTCACACAGCTGGTGAATGGTGGGCCTGGGCTTTGAACCCAGTTGTCTGTCCGCAGAGCCTGGTCCCACGTCCTGTCCAGGCCCAGATTTCTCTTGTGCTCCCTCTTCCGTGGAGACCTGATCTGATCAGGGCCCAGCACCCATGGGAGGCCCACAGACATGGTTGGGTGGTGTGATTGACGGCCAGTATTGAAAACTAAAGAGACATTTAGGACATGAAAATTATGACAACCTAGAGTTCAGGATTCTCTCGAAAGGTCGGAAGGCGTGGGTGCGGGGCCAGGAACGGTGGGAAGGGAGACTGCTCACACTTAGGGGCCTGATGTGGGCAGAGAGCAGCAGAGAGACTGGCACAGAGCGGCAGGAGACGGGAAGACGCCAGGAGAGGGGCCCGGAGGCAGGAGAAGAAGATGTCATCTGCACCGAGGCCGTTCGACACGCGAGGACTGTGGGGTCACAGCGCAGAGGTTAGCGGTGACCTTGACACGTGGTGGACACGCCAGAGCAGTGCCAGAGAGGATGGGTGGAGAGGGGCGGAGGCTTGCGGGCACGAGGACGCACAGTCCTATGCAGTTTTGGTCCCAAAAGGAAGAAGAGAAACGGAATGAGAGCTGGAGAGGGAAATGGGACAGAAAGCCAGCTTTCTGTTAAAGATGTGAGAGAGCCCGGCCGGCGTGGCTCAGCGGCTGAGCATCGACCTGTGATCCAGGAGATCGCGGTTCGATTTCCCGTCGGGGCACTTGCCCGGGTCTCAGGCTTGATCCTCAGTAGGGGGCAGGCTGGAGGCAGCCGATCAGTGATTCTCTCCTTGATGTTTCTTTCTCTCTCCCTCTCCCTTCCTCTCTCTAAAATCAATAAAGACATACTTTTTAAAAATTTTAAAAATAAAGATTTGAGAGAGAATGAATTGCATGCTCGTGGGACACTGGGAAAAAGCCAATGGAGGATTCAGTCATTCGGTATTTACTGAGCACTTACTAAGTACCAGGCACTGGGCTCAATGCTGAAGATACTGGGGTGGTCAAGGCCGGCCAGGGCCCGCCCCCAGGAAGCATGTGTTGCTAATCAGGGATGAACTTAAAACTGTGTAAGTAAACCCAGTGATCCTTCATCTGCCTGTGACCCGGTTGAGAAAGGCCACCTGCTCGCTCACCTGTAGGCGTCCAGATTGGGGAGTGGTTGCCCCCACCTCATGGGCGTGAGTGCACTGGTTTTCCTCCTAGGAGAGGATTGGTGCCCACTCGGTTGGTTAAATGGAGATGACCTCGGGTCCATGGACTGCGACGGTATTTAGCACAGCGTGGGCCAGACAAGACCCTTAGACGTGCCAGCTCTGATCGGTCCGTGATGGCATCTGCCTCCCCACCTGAGGCAGAGCCAGCCGACCTGCACCTCCCTCCTGTGCCCCGGCAGACCTCTCCAGTCGACCCCGATTCCTCTAGAGCTTGGTTGATGAGTCATGTCTGCATGGCCACAGGATTGGAAACTGAGAGCCTGTGTTCCTGGTATTTGCCTGTCTTGCCCCAGCCAGGAGGTCGGGAAGGTCAGGCTGCTTAGCTTTTCTAGGCCGCACGTGGAGAGAGGAGCTGTGGGGATTCTGGAAAGATCTTGGTCCTGAACATCGAAGTACGGGGGGGGTCAGGTGCCACTTTCACCTCTCATTGGCCTCATGAGCAGTCCACCCAGTGTAGCAGGTGGTGAGAAGGAAAAGGGAGGTTTCCATGCCTGAGGAGCAGAACCAGCCCAGGTCAGACCCTGGACCCAGCCCGACCCACGTCCACCCAGGCCTGGCTCTGCGGGAATGGTTTTCTCAGCTGCCACCGGTGGCTGCCACTTGTCCAGGCGCATGGTTAGCTTTTCTCTCTTCCCTGAGTGCCACCTGATGGGGCAAGGGCCTGCTTATTAACCTTTGTAAGGTAGGTTGAACCCTGACCTGTTCTTCACTCACCTTGCTCAGCTCGTGTACAGGAAAAATCAATAAATAAACCAGTGTATGCCCGTCCCAGGGCCAGAGTCTGTGGGCGAGCTTCCCGGGGCCGTGCCTTCTTTCTCCCTCCCCGGGGCCTCTTCTCTGGGCCCTTTTCTCAGACTCCAGCCTGTTGGTCAAGCCCACCTGTAATTTTTGAGGCCTCCTGGGGCCTGAGGTCAGGCCTGGGAGCCCGGGGAGTGGGAAGGCAGGAAGAACCGATAACATTTAACAATTCACCTGTTGTGTTCAGGTGTCGGGTGATGTCACCTAGAGCTTAACTGCTGGGGACTTGCTCAGAGAAGTTCCAGGCAGTTTCTGAGGCCCTCCGGTGGGTGTCATAAGTTGCTGCATGTTTTTAATGGAATGCTGTTCCCTGTGGAGAAAACAGGGCAGATGGTGGCCTGGGCTGGGTGGTTCTGGTGGGTTCATTTCAGCAGGGTCAGGGTCCCATCAGCTTCTGGGGCTTTGGGGGGTATCACAGGCTCACCAGATCTCCAGCTCCTTCACGTTGGGGAGCTGCCAGTTCAGAGCAGGGATAGACGTTTAATCAAGGACTTGCTTCCCTGGTTGGATCAATAAAACTGGGAGGTGACAGTAGGGACTCTAGAAACAGACGGACCTGAGTTCAAATCCTGAGAATGCCACTGAGTGACCCGGGAGCTTGGGAGAGAAACATCATCTTTCTGAACCGTTTTCTCGTCTGTTAAAAAGGGGATAGAAATAGGGCCCCTTCTCAGCTCTCGGGGCGACAGGCAGCTGGGACCTCGGGAACTAACTTGCTGTTGGTCCCCCAGCCATGAAAGCCGACCGGAAGCGCCTGAAGGGCGAGAAGACCGACCTGGTGAGCCAGATGCAGCAGCTGTACGCCACGCTGGAGAGCCGCGAGGAGCAGCTGCGGGACTTCATCCGCAACTACGAGCAGCACCGCAAGGTCAGGGGCCGGCCCTCCCCGCGCCCTGCCCTCCCCAGCCCCGGCACAGGTGTGGCCTCTCAGACCCCAGGGCACGGCCTCTCTGCTCTTGTCACCTTGTGCTCACTTGGGGACGCCCCCGACGTGTCTGGCGCTGCCTGGGCGCTGAGATGAAATGGGCACAGCTCCTAGTTGAGGGCTCCATGGCTTCTGGGAAAACAAACATGGACAGGAAGGCTCAGTCGGTGACACTGGGTGCTCTGGATAAAGGCTGGCCTAGGTTCAGATCCCGGCTCCCCATGTGTGTGCCCTTGGGTATCTCAGCCTTTCTGAGCCTCAGTTTCCTCATCTGCCAAACAGTGACCGTGGTGCAGCTGTGGTGAGGGCTGCGGTGATGAATGCAGAGCACTCAGCAGGGTGTCTATTGCGTAGTTAGCGCTCAGCAAATGTTAGCTCCGCATCTTAATAATACCATAAAAAATGTGTGAAGAGAGAGCTGGGGAGCAACAGTGAGACAGGAAATTCTACATGCAGGAAGATAGTCTTGGAAGGCTTCACAGAGGAGGTGACTACGAATCGGGCTCTGTGGGATGAGTAGGAGTTTATGGTCAGATAACTGAGGAACTTGGTTCAGCAATTATCTGTCTGATATGTGGTGTGAACATGCCAAAGAGGGTACCAAAGCTTAAAGAGCCAGCCCCCCCATCCGAGCAGGCCTCAGTGAGCCACGGCATCTGTGGGAGAGAGTTGTAACCTTCTGGTGTACAGGGCAAAAAAACTGTCGAAAACTGTTCATGTGCATGACACCACATGACGAGGGCTGTGACCACTGTTCACTTGTACTCTGGGGAGAAAATAGAGGCTAGAGGTTTGTTCAGCTCTGTTGGCCACGGAAGGTTTGGTAAGTTCCGTCTCCCACAAGTTTGTGGCGCAACTGGGATTTGAACCCAGGGCTCTCTCACTGCAGAGCCTGAGCTCCTGGCCACATGCAGCGGGGCCTCCCCACATCTTGGGGTATCTCCGGGCCAAGAGGGGGGCTCTGCACACCCGTGGTGAGGCCTGGCGCTCTCCCCCCTCAGGAGAGCGAGGATGCCGTCAAGGCCCTGGCGAAGGAGAAGGACCTGCTGGAGCGCGAGAAGTGGGAGCTTCGGCGCCAGGCCAAGGAGGCCACGGACCACGCCACGGCGCTGCGCTCGCAGCTGGACCTCAAGGACAACCGCATGAAGGAGCTGGAGGCCGAGCTGGCCATGGTGAGACCCCCTCCCAGCCCTGCGCACTCACCCGGGGCGGTGGGCTTGTGCCGGGAGGCAGGGCGCAGACCTCGGTTCACCCAGGAACCCTGGGGTGGGGTGGAGTCCAGCAGAGCGAGGGGGTTGGCCCGGGGGGGTTTGTGTGTCTGTGATGATGGCATCTTCTTCCCACACCAGCCCTGAGCCTGGAGCGGCCTTTCACCCGCGCCTGGGCCTGGGAGTCCATCCATTCTTCCGCACTCCCCAGACTACTGTAAAAATAAAAGCCCATTTTTGTTTAAAAATACACATATTTGTTTAGGAAACCATTTGGGAAGAAACATACCAAAACCTTAGTAATGGTTAGCTCTGGGTACCGGGATTACAAGTGAGTTTTAGTTTCCTTTTTTTTTGCCTTATTTTCATCTATAGTGAGAATGTCAAGGAAAAAAGTGTTACATTTTTCTAATCAAAAACAAACCTTCAGAATACTTCCAAAACCGGTTTTCTGTGGTGGTGCACAGCCGCACGTGGGGACAGGCCCATGGTGTGTCTGGGCCTGGTGGGAAACTGAGGTCCAGGGCCCCGGAGTTCTGTTCTCCTTGCTGCTGTGTGATCTTAGGCCGCTCCCTGAACTTCTCTGGGCTTCAGTGGCCTTTATCTGGTAGTGGGGTGGGGCTGAAGGTCTTGATCCCACCCTTTGTGCTCCACAAGGTGGCTAGGAAGCGCTAGGGAGCCCCCGAGGGGTAGAGAGGCCTACCTGGCTCAGCGTCCTCCTGCAGAGCACTGATGTGAGCAAACTGTGGTTACAGCCATGGGTTCTGGGTTCGAATCCAGCCCCCATCCCTTTCTAGCTGTGTGACCTTGGGCAGGATCCTTCACCTCTCTGAGCCTCAGTTGCATCAAGTCTGCATCGGGGTAACTGTATATATCTCCTAGGGCTCTCATGAGGATTTCAGTGAAATCATGCGAGGGAAGTGCTTCGCACGGCACCTCTGCATGGTTAGTGATGGCACAGACGGAGGTTTTCTAAGGTCACTTCCTTCAGGGCCAAGGCCGCCCTGGGCTGGTCAGGATCCACGGGTCCCTCTAGGGACCGGTCCGCGCTCTGCCTCCTGGGTCTCCTTGTCCGATGCTGACCCCTAGTGGTGAGAACTGCCCAGGGCCTGCGGCTGTCAGGTCCCCGCTTGGGGTGGCGGTGGGGGGCTTCCCACCGGCCGGCGGTGCGGGGCCTCTGCTGCCTGCCCAGGAAGAAGGGGCCATTCCACGTCCCCAGCAGGTGAGGCCCCACCTGGGAGAGGAAAGCCCGTGGAGACCTGAAAGTGACCCTGCCCCGGCCTCTCCCTGTGGTGCCTTAAAGGGCTTGTTTCAGGGACAGCTGGACTGCCCGTGTGGGGCTAGGACTGCTGCCGGGGGCAGAGCGGAGCGCTGACTACCTACCGGGCGCCAGCAGACCCACCCGGCTGCTCATTGCTCCGCCCTGAGTGCACCTGCTGGGCAGCCAGGATGGATGGGGCAGGAGGAAGGGAGCAGCTGCCCACTTGGAGTGGGGCCAGGACAGGGGGCCGGGGCACACGTGCGCCTGGAGGGGAAAGCAGATGTGGCCCCGAGTGAGGGGCGGGGGGCGGGGAAGCATGAGTGCGTGAAGCGGGGCTCCTGCCAGCACGTGGCAGCTCCGGGCCACACCCGGCCTCGCTCGCTCCTTCCGCGGAGAGGTCGCTCCGTTGTCCTGGCACTGAGTTCACAGAGCTGATTCCCTGGGCCATGAGTCCCACGCGGCAGGGGCTGGCTTCCATTTATTCTGCGGGTTTTTACCACGTGCTTCACTACACGTGCCCAGCCCCAGGCCAGGTGCTGGGGACTCCATAGCGACTAAACACGCCCCTTCCTCTGCCTCATGGACTGAGTCTGTGTCACGTATGCTGGTTATTTTCTTGTCCCAGTGGAGCGTGGGCACCGAGGAACCCACAGGGGGCTCGCAGTGGGACACCCAGGCTTGGAGCCCAACTTGGATGTTGTGCTTGCTGAACACTCTTGGAGAAGTCGCTTAACCTCTCTGAGCCTCTGGCTTCTCCTCAGTCCAGCACAGATAACTGCACACTCCCTGCTTGAGGCCCAGGGCTGCTGCACTGAGCACAGGAAGATTTTCTAAGCGAGGGAGGAGATTATTACCTGGCAGGGGGGTGGGGCCGACACCCTCTACTTGACCTCCCTCCGCCCTATAGGTTTATACTCCCTAGGGCTGATGGTGGGAGGGGAGCCATTTCGCAGACTCCTGGGGTGGCTGAGCTGGACGGAACCCTAAAGATCTCTTGGTCCAGGCCCTTCCTTGTACAGATGTGGAAACTGAGGCTTAGAGAGGGCAGCGACGTACCTAAAATAACACAGCTGGTCAGCATGATGAGGCTGTTTTGGGCTTTAGGCCAAGGACTGTCCATTTATCGGCTGGACTCTCCACTCCACCAGCAGCTGAGGCCTTGGGTGGGGTATGGAAAGTTGTGGAGCAGGAGAGATGAGGTGAAGTCTTTCATTTTATCTGTGTTCAAATTAGGGGCAAAGCCAGAGCTCACAGTGGCTCTGCCATCTGTAGTGACCCCCTGGGCATCAGATTTCCTGGAGAGCTCAGTGTGGGACCCTGGGGACCCTCCTTGTGCCCCTCTCCCCTGCATGAGCCTGGGGAGCCAGGTGGGAAGTAGAAATTGGCTGTGATGAAAAGAATATGCGTTAATACATTGCTAATATGTGCCGCTTTTCTCCCCAAAAATAATTTGCATTTGTTTCTAATAAAACCTCACATATCCTGGGAGGGGTAACCCAAAGCTGTGAGAGACCTCAGCCACTGGGTGGAGAAAGGAAAAGCTGTCTAACTCTCCCCCCCACCACCCGCCCTGACTCAGCCCCACGCTTTCCGTGTCCCGTGCATTCTCACCGTGACCCTGAGCGCCAGGGTGAGGACTGGCTGTCCCCAGCCTGCACTGTGCAGCACCTTGTGAAGGGGGAGGGAGATCACAGGTTGATGTGGGGGGAGCCAACACAGTGGAACCCAAAGCACCATTTTCTCCCAAAGTCCTTCAAATCCCAGCTGGTCCTCAGAGAGCCCAAAAGAATGGGTAATATGTGGGTGCGTGGCCCCCTTTTCTCTCCTATTGCTAGTCTCACTTGGTGGTGTCAGGAGCTAAGGGGTGTCCAGGGGAGCCCCCAGGTGAGGTCTGCCCTGCAGCTGCCTGGTTACTGATGGCTCTCGATGCACAGCCCCAGATGCCCTGGGCCAGAGGTCAGTTCATGGTTTCTCACAACGGTAAGAGGTCCCCTGGTCACGGCACCCTCTTGTTTCCCGGCTCCCTCTCCAGGCCAAGCAGTCCCTAGCTACGCTGACCAAGGACGTCCCCAAGCGGCACTCACTCGCCATGCCGGGCGAGACGGTGCTCAACGGCAACCAGGAGTGGGTGGTCCAGGCCGACCTGCCGCTGACCGCGGCCATCCGCCAGAGCCAGCAGACGCTCTACCACTCGCACCCCCCGCACCCCGCCGACCGGCAAGGTGAGTCCCCCGCCACCGGGACCCGGGGGGGGCAGCCTCTCCGTCTGCACTGTAGCCGCCTGGGGGGTCGGGCAGACGCCAGGGGCTCAGGTAACTGAGGAGTCTCAGAGACGGGCCTCAGCCACGGCTGGATCCTGGGGCTCAGACAATACCTGCGTCTGTCTGTCTGTCTGTCTTCGTCTCTCAGCCCAGCCTGCCTCCAGTTGGCCTCGTTTTTAGTTTGTCTGTTTCCACGAGACAGCAGAACAGTCCGCAGCAGTTGCAGGCTTCTCGCTCCCAGCTCAGGCGTCCAGAAGGGGAACCAGTCTCTTTCTCTGTGTCCATAGCAAATCCCAAAGGAGGACTCTGACTGGCCAGCCCGGGTCCCATGCCCACCCCAGGACCAGTCACTGTGTCTGGGGCCCGGTGCACTGATTCTGCAGCCTGGCGCACATGGCATCCTTGGCAGGGGAGGCAGATAAGCTCCTTGAGTGACAGCACCACACAGTCACAGGATGTGCCAGAAATAAATGTCACAGGTGTTTGCTGTGGGCACTGGCGGGAGGAAGGGCCCAGCCTCTGGGCAGCATCTGCGCCCACTGGCCACAGTACAGCCCCGGGCCCCCCTGCACACCTGCCGCCCACCTGGCTCCGGTCCCGGTTACTCCGGTGAGTGGCTGCCTGTGTGTGACAAGTGTGGGTTGCTGTCTCATCACCTGGCTGGGAATCCAAGTTCTGACTCCAAAGCCCCTCCACACATACCCCCACCAGACCTTATGGCCATTGGCAGCTAGGACTGTCTTTCCCGGTAATAGAGCCCCACCTGCTCGCATGCTACCTGCACATAGTAGGCCCTCGGCCCGTCTTGCCTAACAATGCCCCCTCCACCCTGGGCCTGCGCCTGCAGCCGGACGGGGCTCTGCTGGGGGCTTGTGCGGGCTTCCATCTGTGCCTTTCACTAACGGCCGCTGACTGAGCACCTTCTGCGGGCCAAGCACCTTGAGCTCTGGGGTCAGCATGGACAGGACACCCAGGGTGCCTGCCCTCGTGGGGCTGACACTGCAGGTGTGAAGACAGGCAACACCCGTAACTAAGCTGACACATAGATTACAGCCTGTAATTAGCACAGGGAGAGAAATCCACAGAAAACAGGTGCTTGGGTGGAAAAAATAAGGCCTGGGGAGAGCTGGTCATCGAGGAAGGCCTCTTTGGGGACAAGCCTGATGAGAATGTGCCCGATGGGCGGCAGGACCAGCAGGGACTGAAGCAGGGGGGAGATGGCGTGTGTCGGGGACTGTCAGAAGGCCAGGGTGACACAGCCGAGGCTGGCGGGGTAGGCGGGGCCGTATCCCTGGGGCCTCAGCTGGTGTGAGGAGTGGAGGAGGCCGGCCCCTGGAGGCCACCATGGTCTTCCAGCCGAGAGATGCTGTTGGCCTGGGCTCCAGTGGTGGCAGTGGAGTTGGAGAGAAGTGGGTGGACCTGGGGCTGTGTTTAGAAGCACTGATGGTGAAGGGGCGTGGGGCGTGGTGGGTGCGGTGGGGGGGAAGACGAGCTGATGGAGGCCTGTAGGCATCTTGCTTGGGAAGCTGTTGGGATTACACCAGGTTTAGGGACCGTCCAGGTGGTGGGAGGGAGCCTTGTGAGGACAGTCACTGAGGTCCCTGGAGACTCCACCTCTTCCTCTCCTTCACTTGGTTAAGAGCAGGGCTAATTGGATCCAGAGGCTGTGATGGGAGATTCCTCCCGGACGCTGCTCTCCGACGACACGTGGGGCTGATTAATAGAGGGGCAGAGAGCTGGGCAGGTGTCTTCCCTCCAGCTCAGTGGTCTCGTCTGTACAATGGGGGAGTGGGTGGAATCGCCTGCAGGGCAGTAAAGGCAAGGACATTCTCTCCATCCCTCGCTTACCAGCTGTCCCTGTTTTCCAGCGGTCAGGGTGAGCCCCTGCCACTCCCGGCAGCCCTCTGTCATCTCCGATGCGTCTGCTGCGGAAGGTGACCGGTCGTCCACGCCAAGCGACATCAACTCCCCTCGCCACCGGACGCACTCCCTCTGCAACGTAAGGCCAGCAGCAGCAGGGCCTGGGCCCTGCCCGGACGCCGCGGGGGCGGGCGGAGGGGTGACGACGGACTCGCTGTTTCCTCTCGTCCACCCAGGGAGCACTCTGGCGGAGGCATTTCCTGTTCTGTTCTTTCCTTTTGCAAGAAGAGATGGATGTGGGGAGAGAAAGAAAGGAGGCCCATTTGCTCCTTGTGTCCGGGAGGGCAAGGAAAATCCAGAGGAAGGCGGGCCTGGGTCGGCGTGGGGTCTGCAGCCGGGCTTCCCTCTGGCGGGCTGAGACCGCGGGCTTCTCCTCCCGACGCGACCCTCGCAGCTCAGGGCCCGGCCAGCACCTGCGTTCCCTGCAGGGCCAGCTCTCAGTCTCCACCTGGGAATGAGCCAGGTTTTCTTGAGCTTCCAGAAGCCTTGGCACGTTTTGCCTCTGGAGAGGTGTCATGAATTTGTTCTAAGTTTGTTGGCTCTGCTTATTTAATCAAATACTCTTTGATTGCATGCTGGGTGCCAGCTCCTGAGTGCAGGCTCCCAGCTGTCCCTAGTCCCCTAGCTCTCGATGAACAGTAGGGCGGGTGGAGTGAGGAGGTGAACGAAGGTGGGTCCTGTGTCTGAGGACGGGAGGATGCCACGTGTAGGCTCGAACATGAGACATGGAGGCTGGGTGTGGGGGCCGCCCTTCATTCCTGTCCCATCACATGGTTGATCATATGAGGGCTCTCCTGCCATGTCCTAAAGACAGAGACACTATAGGCTGGGTCTTCAAATGCCTTAACCAGTGAGATAGATAATAAAAAAGAAATGAGGTGAACATAGTGGGAAAGAAAGATACAAAAACGATTATTGCCGATGATATGATTACCTACCTGGAAAACTCGAGAATAACCTTGAAAAGCCATTAGAACTAATAACAAGCTAGTATATAACGGTGCTGGTTCAAAATCAATTTATAAAAGCCAGTAACTTCTCTATATACAAGTAACCATAATGGAAATATTTTTTTCTATCTATAACAATGAAAAGCTCTTATAAAAATAGCTAAGACTAAACTTAAAATAAGTTGCTGCGTGGGCAGCGGGCAGCAGGATTGCTGGCCTAGGCCCCACTAAGGGCTGGGACTCTTCTTTAAAGGGAACCAAGGCAAAGAAGGTGGGCCACTAGCGGGGCTCTGACGCCTATTCTCTGGTTCTGAGGGCCATGGTTAAATTGTACCTACAGCCAGCATCGCACAGCGCGGCCCAGAACCTTCTAGCATCTGTGCACAGCCCTAATGAGAATCCCTTTGCAAGAGCCTTTGGGTTTTTTTGGCTCGCTTGATGGGCCCAAAGGGGCTCTGACAGCCGAAATGCTATTAGAAAATCCATTCTGCAGAAAGGTTCTCTGAAGGCCTCCTGAGTTGCATGGGCGCAGGCCTAGCCTTTTGCCCAGCTGGGCCTTCGCACAGACCTGCTGCGACAGGCGGCAGGCCCGGCACATTTATTTCCACATTCACCTGAGACAGAGCCCTGCAGCCAGGAGATGGGTGCTTTGCTCAGCCGGTTGTCCGGACACGGGCATCTCAGTGGGCACTGGCCTCATTCTTTTCCCATACATTTGGCAAAGATGGCCCTGCTCAGAGTAAACCTGTTTTAGCTGCCGGCCCTGAGTTCTGTTTGTACACCCCGAGATAGGACTAAAGACTAAACTACCATTTGTTCCGTTCCCGCCCGCCCCCAACCACCTTCGTCCCACATAGCAACGGCCGTGCACACAGGTGAGCCAGGAAGAGCCTGAAAGTAGCTCCAGGTAACCCTGTCCTCAGGCATCCGACCTGACGACACAGGAACCGCCCAGGGGGCACCTTGGCCTGCAGTTCTGGAAGCAGCCACCAGGGTCTCCCTAGTAGGGACTTCTGTGATCCAAACTGTCTGCCCGCCCGCCTGGCAGGACAGACCGATTCTGGGATGTAGCGAGCGCGTTTACCATCCACTTTCACACACCACGGGAAGGGCGAGCTGGGCCAGGAGGAACCAGACTGTCCTGAATTTGCATCGTAGCTCTGCTGTTAATGAGCTCCGTGATGCTGGACTCTGGAGTCTGTGTATCTGTAACCAGTGAGTCCTCCTGCCCTTCCACAAAGTAAGAGATTCACTGTGTTTGTGGGGGGAGTTGGAGGCCACAGTTCCCCGAGGCTTCCTGTTCCAAAATTCTTTATTTTTGTGTTTTTTCTATAAAGTTGTATTTCTTTAGGTAAAGCTCCAAGTCTGACCAACCTCCAAGTTCTAATACAATAGACCGATTGGGACAAGAACTGAGAAGCCTTTGAGTAACTGATTTGTTGGTCAGAGGATGTAGGGGGGTCAAGAGGCCAGAGCAGGCAGGAGAGCACCCCGGGGCCTCGGGCCAGGCGCCCTTATCCAGACAGCATCTCAGTGAGCCCCAGGCCCTCCCCACTGAGCCATCTGGGAGTGTCCGCTTCAGGGGTGGGGGCTGGGTTCCCCACTCAGAGGCAGGGTGGCTTCCTCTCACGGGCGATCCCAAGCCTCACGGGCCACCTCTGCTCTCGTGTGTCCCGTGTTTCTGCCGTTTCATCTTTGTCTTCTCCTTTGGCTACAGGGCGACAGTCCCGGCCCAGTTCAGAAGAACCTGCACAACCCCATTGTACAGGTAGGTGTGCTGTCACCGGGTTCTCGGGCCCTCCCTCCACCCCACCTTGACCGTGGCTTCATCCCTTGTGCCCCTGGGCCCTTGGCATCCCCACATCCATACTTGGGCACCCAAGGCAAAGAGGAGTTAAGGAGTTGCATGTGGACTGGCACCTGAATCAGGCTGACCACCTGGGTCTGCCCTTCCGTGCCCTCTTCTGCACCTGTAAACCTACTAAGTGCATCACACGTTCTTCATCCTGCTGCCCTGGCAGAGTCTTCTCCTGGCAGCCAAAGTCTGACTGGCCGAGCCACGCGCTCCTTGTCAGGGTGAGGGCAGCATGACCTGGAGGGTCAGAGGGGGGTCTCTGAGACCAGTGTTCTAGTGCTGGGGTCCCCTCCACCGCGGATGTCTTTCAAATGGAGATTCCTGGGCCCTTCACCCTGGAGAGTCTGGTCCCCCAGCTGTGGGCTGGGGCCTGGCCTTCAGGAAACGGATTTTGGGAACCACTAGTCCAGTCTGACCCTGACCTTTCTGACGGAGAATAGTACCCCGTGTCTGTACAGAGCACTTTCCAGTTTGCAAAGCTCTCTGGCGGACACCCCCCCTCCCAACCCCCATAGTTATACCATAATCAGGGCGAGACCCCCAAGCCCCAGCCTCCCCGCTCGACCTTGACCCATCCTGCTGCTTGTCCAGGGCCTTCAGGGCCAGGGTCCTTGGCGGACACGCGGCTCAGGCTCTCCCAGGCCCTTTTTTCCCACGGGCGCTTTTTCGCAGGACACTTGCACCCTTGCTCGGTGCCCCTGCAGGAGGGCCCGGGGTCGGACCATGGCCCAGGGCGGGGACACACCCCCTGGAGGCACTGGGAGGTCGTGGGGCGGGATGCAAACCGCGCTGACCGCTGTGGGCCGCTTCCTACGCGCCAGGCACTGTCCTGCGCGCTCTGTCCTCGCTGCATGACACCCTCGTGGCAGTCTTGGGCGGGTCCCGCGGCTGTCCCCGAGGTTCTGGCACCGGCCCTGGGTGGGGGGGGCGCCCCTCCTCGGTGCTGCGCCCCCAGCTCAGGTTGGCTCTGTTCTCCCCCCCCCATCTCTGCCCCTCGCCCCGGCTGCTCAGTCACTAGAGGATCTTGAAGACCAAAAGCGGAAAAAGAAGAAAGAGAAGATGGGATTCGGCTCCATCTCGCGCGTCTTCGCCAGAGGGAAGCAGCGGAAGTCCCTCGACCCCGGCCTCTTTGATGGTACCGCCCCCGATTATTACATAGAGGAGGACGCGGACTGGTGATGCGCGCCCCCTCCGCCCGCGGCCCGGCGGGCG